AGCGTTTTTGGCTCATATCTAATGTCCTTTATTCTAAAAATATACCAATAATGTCATTTTTTATTTTACTATCTAATTTAGTAAACAATAGGCAAATACTGCAAGACGTATCAAGTTGACTTCTTTCATCTAAGTAAAGTCATAGGGAGTTTTTCAAAACTGTCAATTCTATCATTTTACGAGTAAAATACAACTTTTTGATGTTTACATGGTTATATCACACTATGAAAATTCACTAAGTATGAAATTATTGGTGGATTAATATAATTTAGGATGTTCTCGACCTCAAACAACCTTTAAAAGTTGAAGTTGTCACATTACCTATTTTCGACTTTTGGCAAACTTTGAATTGATTCTGGCCCACTGTGCAGCGGTGCGTAACCAATAGAAATAAGATAAGCTTCTGGGCTGATTTTTTGACATCATGTTATTTAAAAAATCATAACTCTATAACGGGGCGTCGTATCCAAAACATTTTTCCATCAAAATGTTCTTAAAAGACTAGTCTACACTACTATATGATAAAAAAAATGAAAAAATTGTTTTGACCTCTGAAATTAAGATGGAAAAAGAAAAGCCTATCTCAGTAGTGTATTAAAATAGGTATATGCATTACAGTGCTGTAGTACTAGTAATGCTCTAAACTAGCATTGTTTTAGTTACCATATGAGAGTTTCCTGTGTTGAAAACATGATTTACTATACTATACCTCTTTATAAAACATAACTTGTACTTTATAATAAGAGAAATCTGTATATTATCGCTACTTGGAACAGTAACAACACGAAAGTCCTATGCTACTGCATTGTAATGCATTGACCTATTAATACACTACTAAGATAGGCTTTTCTTTTTCCATCTTGATTTCAGAGGTCAAAAACATTTTTCATTTTTTTTTTCAATCATATAGTGGTTTAGACTAGTCTTTTAAGAACATTTTGCTGGAAAATTTTTTTGGATACGACGCCCCGTTATGGAGTTATGATTTTTTAAATAACATGATGTCAGAAAATCAGCCTAAAAGCTTATCCTATTTCTGTTGGTTACGCACCGCTGATTCTCAATGTTTGTTATCACTTCAAGATGTCTACAGATTCGTGAAAAAGGCCTATTTAAATGCTGTACAAAAACAGGTACCTATCTTGTGTGTCGGTTTACAAGCACTGGCAACCGGAAATCGCGTGACTAACAAGGCATTTCTTGAAGGTAGACATAGGTAAATACAAAAAAAAAATCATGGCAATAAAGCAGGGGATGCACCTTTTCGGTTCCTGGCACCTGAACTATTAATATTATTAGGGCTATTATTATTAAAATGTGGAATCAAATATAATTTCAGATTATGCAAGGGTTACTTACCTGCAGGTAAGAATCACTAGGTGGTGAGAATCACTAGGCGTTTCCCAGCCGCTTGGCGGTATAACCAGTCTTCAAAGCGTAAATCCATACCCTTCCCATCCTGCACCGTCCTCTTTTCTAAAGTGCAAGTCTGCGGGAGGGGGAAATCTAATGCAACCTTCGACCCAAAAATGATTTCCTGGGCCGGGCAACGTATCTACCAAAACTGAACCCTGCAAAACACCTCTAAAGAATAGAAGCTGAACTGCCTCTTCAACCAGAACAGGCTACTGTGCCCGTCTACTTATACCACAAACATCAACATGCAAACACAAGACCAAAGAAAAAAGTGGCTTATGTATAAACAACGATTTATTAAACTTATAACCCTTGGTAACAATACAATCCAATCAAAAGTCACTCCAACAGCACCCTGAAAACTAGTAACTGCAGGGTTGACCTGTAATTCCGAATTACATAAAACAAACTATATGCTTAGGCGAAAAAAAAAAAACAAAACCCAACACACCATCC